GTCGGTACGACATGCATTTCTCAGAGGGGTCACTTCCACTTCTACTCACTGACTAGCAGCCAATGCCGTATTACAATTACCACAGCTAGTCTCGACGAAGCTGACCCAAAAGCGCTGGCCTGCTGTGCCGCGGACGATCTTCACGTGCCCTTCCCACAACACTGGGCCGTAACGCTCCCGCGTGTCGTTGTCGTCTGGGGGGCCTCCAGCGTCATTGGCCGTGGCTTCCCTCGGCGTCCACTTGACTACGGCGGAGAAGTCGTCGATTCGCCGGCTCGCCAACCTCTTGGGGTGGTTCGCCAAGTCCGAACGGCTGAGGCGCTGCCCGTCGAACAGCTTGGAGGATATCTGAAAAACAGGGAAAATGGACGATTAAGGTCGAGCTGCCGTCTCGTGCGGAGCGACTCCTCGGCTCGGCCTGTACCCAGCCCCCCGGCCCGCCTGCTCGCGGGGGTGGACAAGTGCACCGTCTTCTAAGAAACCTTTCCGTCCCCGCCGCCTGCTCGCCTCGCGATTCCTCTCTGCGTCTCGACGGCGACGGCCTCCTTGGCCTCCTGCCTACGGCCCGTCTTTAGGCCGGCCCGACTGGACCGCCCAGACTGCCCGCTCCGCGGCCTCGCGGCTCCAACTTTACCTCCTTGACACTTTTTCATTTTCCGAGCGGGTCCGGTTGACGCTATTCGCCGTTTGCGGTGGCGAGGTGTTCGGAGACAAAGCGCTCGCTCTGCCCCTCCCGTGCCCCGTGCTTCCGCGCTTTTACGACCCTTCACCCCCACCCCCTCCCCCGGCGCATCTCCTCCTCGTGTCCGCGGCGGGACACGAAATTGCGCATCCAATAACAGGTACCATCGTATGGTAGCAGACGGCGGCCGGGCCGGGCGCTCGTTGCCGACTTGTTCCAGCTCGACAGCGCTGCCGTAGTGCCCCTGCCCGACCCCACCCCACACATGCACCCTGCCGATGGGTGAACAGTCTCCCGCGTCTCCACCTTCTTGGAGACATTTTGTTGAGGGCGGCTCGGCGGTCTACCTACTGCGGCCTCGCGACAAAATCCCGTTAGGTTTATTTTTGTCCTGCGATTTCTTTTAATGTTTTGTACCTCTCGCGGGTCACAATTCTATGACAGTATATGAAACGGCCGCCGCCGCCGCTGCCTGTCGTGGCTACATTCCACGCACTCGGCTTCTTTCAGCACGCGGGGCGATTTTCTTTCATCTTTTTTATTTCTGTTTATTATTTCCTTTTTTCTCCTCCTCTTTGTCCAGCTCGGTCGTTTTCGAATCCATCCTCCTGAACACTGTGTGTGTGCCTGGTGCGACTAACGCTAACAATAATTAGACTCGTGCTGTCATTAAATACGTTGCCGATGGTACCCGCCTTCTCCAGCCGCCCCCTCCTCCCCTTACGATCGAGTCCACTCGCCGCGCACACGCACACGCACACACACATGCGGACTCAATGTCGCCGAGCACAACTATTTCTGGTTTCGCTTCGCCGACGCGGTGTGCGCGGCGGTCCGGTGGCGTTGATCATGATGTTGATGACTCTCCTCCTCCTTTTGCCCGTAGCGACATGTCTCTCTCTTTTTTTTTATCGCTCCGCGACAGTAACACAGAGTTGCAAATGCCGTCGCGACGCGCAATTTATCGCCGTATTTCGCCCGTTTCGATGGCGAGAGGCGTGGCCCCGCCGCCGCCCGGCCTTCCACTCCACGTCGCCACCGCCTCCTTCAACCTGGCTGGCGAAAAGCAGCCCGCGGAGGAGCGGAGCGTCCGCGGATAACGAGACGAGACGCGCCCGCCCGCCCATTGTATGCAGCGCTGCTGCTCAAGTTATCGCAGGACAATTTTTATTTTTTTGTCGCCTCCTCTCTTCTGCGGCGATAGCGAGACCCCGTTTCGCGGGCTTCTTTATGTGTCACCGGCGTGTGGAGCCGGGCCGCCGCGTGCGGTGTGGATAGCTTCCACCACTGCGCGGCTTCCACGAGCGGATTGGGCTTGGTTTTGATATGCCCTGGCTACGCCGGTTGAGGACGCAGGACGCCCCCCCCCCCCTTGCGGCAAAGCGCGGTCGTTCATCTCCTGCACACGCAGAACGCGCCAATGGCGTCCACCCACGTAAGCCCCCCTCCCTCACCCGGACGGCCGTTGGCGATCGCGTCTCATTCGTTCCCATACTCCAAGGTGCCTCAGAGCTTCGTCTCTAGGCTGGCCTCCTAGGGGACCTCTCCCGCGTACGCAGCTGCCTTAGGGACCCGCCCAATGGACTCCTCGCGGGTGCCTGAGGGACGTCCCCAAGCAGCTGCCTTAGGGACGCCCCCACTCGGGTGCCTTACGGACGCGCGCCTGTCGGTCAAGGACGCCGGCTGCAGCGAGCGCAGCGCTTGCGCGGAGCTGCTGCATCTCGGCCGCCTCGCCCCGCCCGCCGCCCGGCGCTTGCCCGTCCCCGCCGCCGCCGGCCCGGCGGAGCCCAGCGGAGCCCAGCGGAGCGCCCGGCTGGGTAGGCAACATGAACGCACGGCTGTCCGCCGGGTTGGCCCGCCTGCCGCTTTTTGGGAGTTGGCCCACCCCACCCCAGGCCCGTGGCCGGCCGCGCGGCTGCTCCGTGCCGCGTTCATAGGCCTCTTTCGCTCTTTTCTATCTC